AGACGTGAACTCGGAGATTCGAATGCCGTAAGACTCCATCACCTTGCCCTCGAAGCGACATGTTTCGTTCAAGAGATGGCTGGGCGATGCATTTCTCGTCTCGCTATCGTATCCAAAACAGGCCAAGTCGAACATATCGGCCAGAACGTACGAAAGGGATGTCAACAAATACCCAGACCGTCGTCGTCTTGGCCATTGGGCCAGATCGCGTCTGTTGATAGGACAGCTACAGGCCCAAAGTCAGATCCCGTGTACGGTGTAGGAGAGATATATCTAAGCCTTCAGCATATTCAATAGTCCTGGTTTGGCTTGGTGGAAACGTCTCTCGGCCGAAACGCTGAAGATGTTGGATCGCGCACCGTAGTTTTTCTGTGCCATGCAGCTTCACAAGGTCGCCGTTTTCGTTTCTGAGTTGTATTCACGTTGCCTCTGTCCCTGCAGTCGACCCGCGCATAGAAGCACAAAATCAGACAAACACCGAATTGACAACAGCGAGCATTCCGTTTGTGGACCACAGGGAGAGACGACGTTCGAAACTAGATTGTCGGTCGGTCTAGATCGTTTGGAGCCACCCCGGTTCGACTGGATGAATGGTGAATTGGCATTGTCTCCAAATGTCATGTTTTACACGCCAGAAAAGTTTTGCGCAGGAGCTTCAAGTAATCGTTTACAAAAGACATATAAATCGAAAAAAAGGAGAAGAAAAAGCCGATGGCCAAAAGGAACAACAGGGTGAACCTTGACTTTGTCGCACAGATTTGTCATAGTGCCTATCTTTCTGGCCCAGCTGTTTACCTGGAAGCGACTGCTCGCGTTGATTCGATAAATAGCGGCGTTCCTGGCATGCTGAAAACGAGCGACGGTTGGCGTCCGCGTCTGTTCTCTGATTTGTATCCACGTATCTTTCTAAATGAAACAAGTTTCTTGCCCACAATAACAGCACTATGCCGTTTACTCTCATGTCTCTTTGTTAGAATGCTAGAAAAAGAGAAAATGAGTGAGTCTGCGGATCCATGACGGTGCCCACTTGGGCTTCTTGGACGAAAAGAGAGTGAGGAGATTGAAGGGCTGAAAGGGAGGCAAGCGACAAAAGGAAATGCAGGTGCGGGAGCATATCGAACGCGAAATGTACCTATCAGGAGGGTTCTCAATTTCAGTTTTGTGCGTCCGACTTGTCCAGGCAGTATGAGGTTAAGACGTTGGCTTTATTTTTATATTATTTTCATAATATATATTTGTTCATGTTGTCAGTCCGATCTTGTTCCTGCCTAAAGATCCGCACAGTGCCCGTCGCTCCTTCCAGCACGGGGTTTGGTAGGCGGATCATCGCGCGTCGGCCCGCGATTGTGGTTTCTTTTGTCAATCAGGACTTGCAAAGGAGTGCTTTTTGTTCGTTGTTGCTGGCCGCCTTTTGTATACCCTTCTTGTCGCGTGTCCTGTGTCCCTTGTTAACACAATCGTTGAAGTCTTATTCTTCTTCTGTTGATTGTTGCCCGTGCACACTTGTCTCTCTTTTGTTTCGATTTGGTTGGTCTAGACTTTGATCAACGCCACCAAAAAGAAAAGCAAAGTCAAGGAAGGCGGCAAAGTCAGGTGAAGCAATGCGGAAAATTTAGTCATTCGATGCGTCCGCCACGTACCGTCACGGAGAATGCACCGCAGCGCAGCTAGAACGTTGAATTGCTCCGTTTGCGTGCCCCTCTATGGTGAAAGCAAGAGCCAGAGATGGAGCGCTCATTCGGTGCCTGGTGTTTCTTTTTCTTTGCACTCTTTCGCCTCGCCCCCTTCTTTGTCTCTTCTCATACCCCTTTCGCTTTCGCCTGCATAGGCGAGGAAATGTATTGTAAGTCATCGAAGTAGAAAAACACAGACAGGTTGACCAGCAACAGGTAAGCACCAAGCCGATGGCTCAACAAACACCAAACATTGACACGCTGCAGCCTTGCAGCCACTCCTGAACCCAATGCATGCATGTCCCTGTACGGAGTCGCGGCTCTTAATATCTCCGATGCGCCTCAGAGGCGTTTAGATGAGACCTAAGGGGCAGTGAAGCGGGCAGTGAAGCGGGCAGTGTCAGTGTACGTCAATGATGCACTCCATATATATGACTTGACAACTCGATGCAGATGTTCGACTTGCAGCAGTCCCTTTTTTTCAGATTTCACACGTAGCGGCCTGCCACAGCTTTCAATAGTACTTTCGGTGGCTTTTGAGTACTTCTCAGTCGCTGTCAGAAGCTTCCACTTGCCCCTAGCTCCAAATGGAAACCGATCACACAAGGGGTGGCGTGGCGGCTCGCCAAGCCTTTCCCCGGCAAAAGATGCTCCCTGTTGATGAGAGAGGGGGGTGCGAGGTCTTTGTTTACGTATTGTTTTCATAAAAGGAATCCTTCAGTATCGTTTATCTAGGTGCGCCATCCGAAGAAAGAAGTGCTGTGTCTTGGAGGATGACTTGAGAAACACGGGACTTGGGCGACCCGAGACTTCCATCCCTTCGTGCCTTTGGTGATACTGTGCATTGAGTTCGCTGTCTTTCACGTTACGGTGCATGGCTTGTTCAACTGTCCTAGGTCATCGTTGTTTCACTGAAGAGAGAATGGATCCTGGCCGGCCAGGGAGACTGGCAGAACCTGGGGCTGATGGATGTCCTATGAAGGGAGAATGAAACCGAATCCCCTTTTGGGCCGCGACAAGAGCCATGACGTTGACTGCGTCTCCCTCAGCGACATATAATCGTAACGCTCGAAATAGGGCGACTGTGCAATTCAGAGTGCCAAGCTTTGCTATATCATTTTTCGAGATGCATCCCAAGACAGTGGGCAAGATATGCCTAAATACGGCCAAAATTTGGTTGCTCTCAATTTGGGAGAATAATAAGACGAGAACAGGACAGTAACGTGGTTCTTCCGGAAGCCGTCGTATGGGCACGTTGATTTCGCAATGCGATTGTCTAAAGAATTGAAATACTAGACACCGTAATGTCATATGACACCCACAGTTCGGATTGTATTTTCAATCACACTTAAAGATCTTTTTTTTTGGTGTCAGATATAATAGAGCCATAATAAAGCCGTCGTGATGGAAAACCTTTCATACTTGTATTGCCGTTGTGCTTTCTGCAACCACGTCTACAACAATGGGCTATCGTTAACGAACTACAACTGACTTTGTTTCTCTTGTTGTATTTTTGACATACGCCTAGTTTCTTTTTCTACTCACATATTCTCGTATCTAAAAGCATATCCTATTTATGTCTCAGAGAAGAGAAATACTAGTCCACCTGCCTCTCCACCATATCCAAGGGGCGTTCCTGGTGGTGTCTAGCTCCCTGGCCATCCCGTGCTCAATAGTATGGGATATGTATGGCCTGTGTCTCTTCTACTCCGGCGTGCCTTTGAGCATGCCGTACGATGCTAGTTCCTGCATACAAAGTTTCCATGTCGTAGGATGCACCCCTTTATTTCCTTTTGCCAATGCTAGTTTCTGAACCTTGACCTGCTTCTTGGATCAAAAAGAGGCCGGAACGGTCTTGAAAGGTGCAAAGTGCCAAAAAGTAAACAAGGGGAGGCATATTGGTTGTCCATTGTGCAAGCCGTGCAACTCGTCTTCATAGTTATCCAGGGATTGGCATGGCTCGGTTTCGTGTTCAACGGAAGGCATGCTTCGCGAGAGACAAGTCGACTCCTTCCCTACCTTGGATGCTGGCATGGGCCGGGGTCAACTGCTTATTGCCCTGCACAGCAGAGACAGGCGACTCGAGACACCGCCCGATGGAGATTAACAGCAAGTAAGATAAGAATAAAAAGGCAATCATTGCCAGAAAGAGCCATGAGAAGGCGACGTTCAGATGGCAATAAGAACACAATGCGAACGACGGAGGCGGACTGTTGCGGATAGACCGAAAGGGGGCACAGCTCCAGGAGGCGCTCGCTCTATTGGGGTACAGTCACCGGCGATCGTCGACCAAGATCGCCTTACATTTCTAAGGATCCATCAACGTCGAGGTCGCCCTCCCTTGGATTGTCGACTAGGATCTTGCCGGGGTCGACTAAAGAGAAAGAACGTTCTGTCCATTCCCCAGAGTAGAGTTGACGGAACAAGAATTGCAACATTGACAGGCAACTGGGCAGTAACGCCCCTGGGGAAAGGCAAGGGAGTGGGACTGGAAGTTCTAAAAAGCCGACCAGAGAGACTGGGACGAAGAATACGATTGTTCTTTCAGTGCTGACACAGTTGCTGTTGAACAACGTTTTGCCCATGTGCTCACTCTGGGGTCTTTTGTGAATTTGTGGTTCTTTGCTTCGAAGATCGTGTCACCGGCAGTTTTGAGGGCTCCATGATGTAATAAAGGATATGCTTAGGTGGGCAGTAAAGTCATGAAAAGTCGGTGCATCTACACAGGCGGACGCAGCCCATTGCCTCGAAGTAGACGGATATGGGCGTTCTATATTGCTTGCATATCCACCGGCGACGCTTGAGGACAGCTTGGGTTGCGACGTCGTGCACGAAAAGGCGTTATAAAGCCGCCCTGAGGTAACTGCATCGTCGTGTATGATGCAATTATCCACAGAATATCCCACAAACAGAACGTCTTGAACGCGTGACGCTCAAGTAAGAGCAGTGGATAAGAATTGTCAGAAGCTTCAAATGAGTGTGAGAAGCACAAAATTGAAACAAGCACATACATGTCCGCATCGTATCTCATCGTATGCCATCTGTGACGCGGGTGGCATTCGCTCTGGAACAAGTTGCAAACGCCTTGTGAATAAGTGCATCTACGGCCACTTTCTGATGCTAGAGCCGTCAGATGAAGTACTGTCACGTTTTCTGTACACCGTCGTTCTCAACCACTGGTACTTTCTGCTTGCCTCTCCATGGCCAAAGTGAGATGGGAGGACATCCTAAATGCTGGACGAAGAGGTCAAAGTCTATATGGAAACTGGATTTACAAGGAAATGCATCAAGCAAGGGCTCGTCCATCCCCAACCGCGCTCCTCGACCCTATGCCATCCACCGCGGCAGGTAGTACTTGACATTCTCGTAGACCAAGAACGTCACCCACGTCGCCGGCATCACGCGCACAACGCTCGGGACCAGACCCCGGTAGAACCCGCGGGCGCCGTCCTCGCGCCAAATCTGCCGCGACACGCCGACAATGCCGCGCCCAAAGCGCGCTTCGGCGTTGTAGTTTTGCAGCCGGCTGCGCACCACCTGGTACGGGTACGTCACGGCGCCGGCCACGAGCTTGGCCAGGGACGACACGACGAGGGTCGACTCGTTGCTGGCCTTGACGGCGGACGGCCCGTCTTGTGGGCCACGACGCACGAACCGCTTCAGCGGCTCGTAGACGGCAAACTGCACGGCGCCGTGCGAGACGCCAATCAGGCTGACGCCCAGCCCGCGGTAAAACCCGCGCCAGCCCTCGTGCGCCAGGACCCGCCGCGCACCCACCCACATGCTCGGGTAGGCGCCGGCGGCGTGGCGGTCGGACGAGAGCATGCGCGTCTTGAGCACCCACAGCGGGTTGGTCAGGATCTGGACGCCGGCACCCGCGAGGCCCGAGGCCACAAAGTAGTGCGGCGCGCGCAAGTCGTGGCCGGGCGCGGCGGCGGTGGCCCGCAGCAGCGTCTCCATCCTCGACTTGAAAAAGAAGAAGGCCGCCCAGCTGGCGCCGTTGCCGAGCAGGTTGGGCGCCAGGCCGCGGTAGAGCGCCGCGAGCGGGCGCGGCGCGTCGAGCAGACTGCGCACGACGGAGGCCGTCGATGGGCGCACCGCAGCCGTGCCGTGTGCATCCGTTTTGCTGTAAACTGGGAGGGGGGAGGAAAGGGAGTTGTGTGTTAGTCTTTCGTCAAGGCTCCAACGTCATCGTTCGGCTCCGGCCTTGACAACTCACTCTGCATTCGCGTCTTGACAATGTCCAGCGGGTGCACGACCAGCGTCGCCGTAGATCCGGCCGTCAGGCCAGCCATCGCCTCGACAAAAGCCGGCGAAAGGCCCGACGATGGACCGGCAGCACCGGCATGACGTGCGTCGCCGGCAGAGGTCATAAGTTGGGTCGGACTTGCGGCGGGACCGTGCTCATGTCTGCCGGTGGAAAGGTCGGAATAAATAAGATTATTAAGACATGGCTTGGGGGAGCTTCCAAAAACTAGAAATGTCGTGGAGCCAAATTCACGAAATCGGGCCCCACTGCCAACTATGACGCACTTTTGGCCGTCGACATGCGGATGACTAATCAGAACACACACACACATCAACGACAGAATAACGAACGTCAACATCAAACTGCAACAAAACACAAACACAGGCTTGGATCTATTGAGTGGTATATTCCTTTTTCCATCGTTTCACAAACTAGTGTACAGATGTCGGTTCCCTCCTGGAAACCAGGCATCAAAAAAGCCTTCCGACACATCGTCAAAAACGTCCGTCGACGAAAGGGCGTGTCCAGTTTTCTTGTCTCATTTTTTTTGGTTCATAACATTGTGTGTTTGCTCGTCCATGCATCGTCCTGGATTTAGGCGCTGTGTCTTGCGCGCATGCCATTGACAAGACCCCGTGGCCCATTGCCGTTTCGCACAGGGTCTCGTGACATGTCCAGGAGCTTGCCTTGACGTCGTTGGTCGCTTCGTCGTCGCGAAGTGACCTTTACGAGAGGGGAGACAGGAGGCTATGACGCGCAGTGTTTGTTAGCAAGTAAGAGTCTTCTCCGGGAGCACAACATCAATGGTCGACGTACCGGATTATGGCTGGCCGGGGCTCGCTGCGGGTATAGCCTGCGTAGAAGTTAGCAAATGCTCGCTCGGGTTGCAATAGCACCAGTCCTGCTTGTTGCTTGTTGTTGGTTGTCGCCCATCCCATACGATCCGGTCACATACCAAGGTAGAGAACCAGGGGCAGGTAGCCACTACAGCAAAACGTTAGCCATGGTCAAAACCAACGCTGCGATGCAAGCATGGGAGCACATACTAGTGGAGGGCCACGCGGGAGATGTCAATGATGCGGCTGATCCGCTCCTACATGTGTCGTTCTGTTAGAGCATGTCTCTTTGCCCAAGCACATCATCTAGACCGGGGCAGAATGTCGTCGATCCCGCCATGTCGTCGTGTTGTCGTACCTTGGACTCTTCTGAAAGGGAGAACATTGTTACTGTGAGCTGGGTTGGCAAGACTATGTGAGCGGTTAGTCACTTATTGAAAGTAGACGTCGAAGCAGCCGTTGATTGACGGGGGTTGTCGACGTACGGAATGGAGCTGTCGTGGCACAAGTCGTGGCACAAGTCGTGATGTGTTGCCGGGTTCGGTTCGCTGCGGTTGACTGCTTTGGCGATTCTGCGCCGAAGAAATTTTGTCGGGTAAGGCGCTGGCGCGTGGCGTGGAGGCGCTAGGATGTGGCGCCTGGTGGGTGCTAGAGACCCGGCTGAACCGCCTGTCGCTGCTATTTCACCCATCAGAAGCTATTGTTTAGCGCGGAAAATTCGTTAGTCCGGCTACCGAGCTCCGTGGTCCCAGCCTTGCCAATCGCTCCAAGCTTTAGCCTGTGCCAGTGCATCTAAGCAAAGCTCTGTGTAGGTGCCCAAAAGTCTCGAAAAGGCTTCAACATCACTCGCTGTCGCGCCGAACAGGCACACCTTACAAACTCTTGTGACGATTGTTCTGCGCCGCCGCCATTTCATACCTTTGTCTCCTCCACGACGACTCTTCCTTCCTCTCGAACGGCGCATCTACGGCAGCATTGGTGGCATACCATCTTTTCAACGACCCGTTTCCAGCCTGGAATCGCGAGCAACGTGAACTGTCGACGTCGCAATATCCCTCCACCTGCTCTCGCTCACCATGGCGGGCCGTCACTGGGAGCAGAACAAGGAGGCCACCGTCTACGTCGGCAACCTCGACGAGCGCTTCGTCGAGCCCCTCATGTGGGAGATCATGACGCAAATGGGCCCCGTTGTTAACGTCCACATGCCCATGGACCGCGTCTCCCGCCACCACCAGGGCTTTGGCTTCGTCGAGTTCGACACCCCCGAGTCCGCCGACTATGCCTCCCGCTGCCTCAACGGCATCCGCCTGTTCGGCAAGCCCGTCCGCGTCAACAAGGCCTCGGCCGACCGCCAGCGCGCCACCGACATTGGCGCCGAGCTGTTTGTCAACAACCTGGATCCCCAGGTCGACGAAAAGGTCCTGTACGACACGTTTGCCCAGTTCGGCCGCCTCGTGGCCGCGCCCAACGTCGTCCGCGACCAGAACAACCTGTCCAAGGGCTACGGCTTTGTCAACTTTGACAGCTTCGAGGCCTCGGACGCCGCCCGCGCCGCCATGCACGGCCAGTACCTGCTGAGCAAGCAGATTTCCGTCGAGTACGCCTACAAGAAGGACGGCAAGGGCGAGCGCCACGGCGACGAGGCCGAGCGCAAGCTGGCCGCCGAGGGCAAGAAGCACAACGTCGTGCCCGAGATCCAGCCGCTGCCGCCCGCCTTTTTGATGAACCGCCCGGCCTCGGGCGCCAATGCAACAAACGGTGCTGCAACAAATGGTGCTGCAGGAGGTGCACCAGCAGGCGGAGGACCTACCGCGTCCGCCGCGACCAGTGCCAACACCACGCCGTTGCCCATCAACAGCCACAACAACCCGAATCGCATCAACGGCGGTGCGCCGCCGCCACCACCACCACAACAGCAACAGCAGCAGGTGAACGGTGGCGGCAACTATCCGTCAAGGGGACCGGGAGGAGGTGGCTACCTGCCATACCTGGGGCAACAGCAACAGCAACAGCAATACCCTCGGCAACAGTATGGCGGCCAGGGAGGCGGTGGCTACGGCGGTCGCGGTGGTCCTTTGCCACAACACTTTGGAGTTGGAGGCGGCGGTGGTGGTCGCGGTGGTCCAGGTCTGCCCGTGGCGCCCAACGGCCTCCCTGCGCGGCCGCCACCAGGCGGTGTCGGTGGTGGTGGCCCTCCTGCCGGAGGCCCGGGCGGCTACCGCAATATGCCGCCACCCGGCTTCTCCACGGGCGCGAACAATGTGCCCGTCGTACCACCGCCGGGCCAGCAAGGCTTCCCACCAGCAGGCAACGGAATGCCACCACCACCTCCAGGGTATGCACGGAGGTAGAACAGTGTGGATATAGGCTGGAGATTTTTTTTATGTACTTTTTGGCATGGCGTTTACGATATTGTTTGAAAAGTTTGTATTTTGTGGAATAATAAAATACCGTGGGTAGTATTTTTTAATGGAATTGTTTTACTTTCGTTGCATTTAATTAATTGTAAATGCAGACGAGTATTATTGGAACTTGTTTATGCGAAACAATAATACAGACAATTCGCACTACAGGATGACGTTTGCTTTTTATTGGAAATATGACAATGACTATTACGAGCTCTTATATATCCGGCAAATGTCAAGGACCGGGAGATCCAGGAGGGTATACAGAAAACGAGAATAAAAAGTAAACGACCAGCAAAACCATACGTCAGGAAAGCAAGCAAGCAGACGCTAGGAGAGAACAGCAAAAGGAAAAGTAGTAAGTGCCTAAGCCGGCCGAAAGCGGCAGAATGGACATAAAAAGACATATAATCCGCCACAGGGAAACGACAAAACGATGAAACGACAAATGAGTACAAAAGGGGTAATATTCGAAAACGACAGTTTGAGAAGAGAAAACAACTTGGCAAAACTAGACGCACGACCGGTACAGAACAAAAGACAAGCCACAGACGACGCGATAAAAACAGAGACTCGAGAAAACAAAGGCCGCATGAAATACAGGAAAGAATGGCTCGTAAACGACGTTATATCATGAACAGATATGGGATATGGAAGGATATTGGACAAAGTCTGCAGAATGCAGCCTTTGTCTCGTATACAGGGGTTCGGACGGCTCCAAGAAGGACGTGGAACATGTTTAACCGTTCCTTTCTTTCCGACACCCCTCGCGCCAGACGCGGCCTCTACCACCTTGATAAAAAGACATATGAGAGTTTGATTAGAAGCCCAGAGGCGAGAGTGGCTTGATAGGCGAAAGCGGTCGTAGATCACCAGACTGTGTTGGTGGAGTGGTCACCCGCTGGCTCTCAATCGTGAGGGTCGTCGACAGCGTTTCGTTCGACGCTACACTGCCTGTCTCGGCCGTCGCCATTTTTTTCTTGGAGCGGGGCTTGTCTGCGCTGTGGTTGTTGCTGCTGTTGCTGTAGCCGTTGCCGTTACCATACTGGGCACCGCTGTCCGAAGACGACACCTGACGGTCTACGCCTCCCCGGTCAGGCGCCCGGTCATCGCCACCCGCGACAACAGCTGGTGGTGGCCGCTGGACATTGTCAATCTCAACGTCAAACGTGTTATCCTCATCGTCATGGTTCACGGTGCCGATACCCCGCGGAGGCGGCATGTCAAAGAGCCGATACTCCTCTTCAATGTACTGGGGTTCGTTGATACAGCCCTTCCAGCAGTCGCGCCAGTCGCACACCAGGAACTTGAACGAGAAGGCATCAATCTTCATGCACGGCTGGAAGCAAATGCACAGATTTCGGAAGTCCATCTTGTTGCGGTCGGAGTGGGCCAGTAGCAGACTCAGATGACAAGTAATGGCGAACAGCAGGTAGTAGTTGAAGGGTGGCAGGCTCGAGAGCTCGTCGACGAGCATCTGAGGCACGGTTTCGGCGCCCGCGCATTCGCGGGCAATCCGCTCTTGCGCCTCCTTGGGGAACAGCTCATCGGGCAGCTCACGCAACCAGGCCTTGAGCATGGAGCCGATGATATTGATATCGTACAGGTCATCTTGCGTAAAGAGGTCGACATCGTACTCTGTTCCGTAGGTTAGCATGCCGTCACATGGATGTAAATAATTTTATTTTGTTGTTTCACCCGACCGTGCAGCGAGAAACGCTAGCAACGTACCTTCATCGAACTTTCGCTGCCACTTCTTGATCTGGGGACCACTGCCGGGCACTCGGTACAGACCCTCCACGTCCGTGCCCTTGTAGTTCAGGTAGTCGATGGCGCGCCATGGGAAGGCAGGCATCCAGAACTCGGTTCTGTCGCGCGAATCCTCCAGGCGCTTGGAAATCCGAGTCAAGCGAGTCTGCTCTCGCAGAGGCTGGTTGATGACCTTGAGCACATAGTGCTCGTCGTCGACAACGGGCTGTTCTGGTGCGCCTCCACTGCGTCCGTTCTTGCCGAACAGGCCCTTGCTGATCATGTCTGCTGCGCTTCTCGACGAATTCTTAAGGCCGTTGAAAAAGGTGTAGCCGCCATTGTCGCGAAGAGAGGAGGGTTGCGCCCGAGAGTGATCGCCACGGTGGCCATGGTGGTTGTCCCGGTTGCTGGGCACGTCGCGACTCAGCGCCCGATCGGCCGAGTGGTTCCGATGCGAGGAAGACATCATTTCGCGGAAGCTGCGATCGTGCTGGGCGGGAGGCGCCGTCTTGAGGGAAGGAGTAGGTTGGTGTGCGCGCTCGGGCTGGTCGACCACTCTCATTTGAGCGGCGGTTCCTGGGTCCCGTTGGAAACCCAGACTATTCGCACTGGGGGCAGTGGTATTGCTCGTGTTGCTGTTAAGAGGATGCGGTGTGTTGTTGTCGTCGTGGATTGATCTGGGCCGGCCAAGGCGATTGAAGACTTTCTGTTTGCCTTTCTTTCCTGAGGGTGTACTGGAGGAAGTGTCGACTTCGGTTGCCGACGAGACAAGCGACGCCTCGGAGCGTGTCGGACCACTGGATGTGGTCGCTCTCAGTTGCGCGTTGTGATCTGCGTAAGAGGACTCTGTTTAGCCACAAAGAAGAATGCGCGAGGAATCGTTCAAACGAACGCAATTGATAGGGAGACGCTAAGAAAGTACGAAAGGTAGACAGTAGGTAGCAAGGGAGGAAGAATGGTGGCGGCAGGGAGAGGCCCAAATCAGCGCAAGGCTCTTAGCCGTTTAATAAGGGGTATTTTGGCCGCAGGCTGTCCCCAGGCCAAAACGGTTTGCACTGCCGCTCTGGTTGATTCGTCCTTGCGACGTACTGTGCTGGCCGTCTTACGACGACCAACATACGGTTTTGTGTCTTATGTATTGTGCATTTTGCCACCCACCCCAGCTCTCGTTCTTCCTGTTCCTGTCGATCCTCTGTACAGAGAGGCAGAGGGGCTATTCATAAAAGAGGTGCTGATCGTACACAAAACGAAGCCGTTTCTGTGTCATACGATGATGTGTATAAAACAAATAAAAACAAATCCTTACCTGATCGATTGAACGTTTGTTTCGAGCTCGGGGACCCGTAGCCTCGTGATGCAACCTCGCTGCGTTGGTCGGCAAACTGCTGGGAGGTGGTGGAGTTGACCGGAGCTGTGCTGCTGGATGCGAGTCTTTCAGACGATTTGGCAGCGGATGACGACTTGCCAAAGTGGAAGAAGAAGTTGGAGGACTTGGATGCTTTGTCGTCGTTTTGTCTGTAGCGGCCGTGGCTCTTGTTGTGAGGCTGTTGCTGCTGCTGCTGCTGCTGCTGTTGTTGTTGCGACCCGTACGGCTGCTGTTGCTGGTACGTCAGCTGGCCCTGTTGCGGGAGCTGTTGCGCTTGTGTGTAGCCAAAGCCTGTCGCGCTGGCTGGGTTGGAAAGCGGAGGATAGCTGGGGCTGTCGATGTCGTCGAGAGGCTGCTGGACGAGGTCGGCGACGTGGAGAGGCTGCTGGTATTTTTGCTGCGGCTGCGCCTGGGGAACAGAAGGAGGTTGAGATTGGGGTTGAGCAGGCCGAGTGGTGTGGTTCTGTGCCTGGCCTTGGCGGTACGGAGACGAGAGAGGCGGTGGCGATGCGGGCGATCGTGTCGAAGACGTAAACGGGGGTTCGTCTGGGGAGACGATCTTGAGGGTTTCAGGAAGCCTGTGATCGCTTGTTGGGAGCGCCTCCCCCGACAAGGCCAGCGGCTGCGGTGCTGGCTTACGTCCCATCTTGGGGGTCGCCAGCGGCTCGCTGGAGTGACAGTCTCTGATGCCTGGCGTCCCTGTCTGGATAGGGGAGAGGGAAGAGGAGTCGGTTTTGTCTGCTGTCTGCCCCTTTGCCGCCGCTCCTTTTCAGATCGCTCTTGCAGGAAAGCGAAAAAGGCCACGACAAGTGTGTTGCACCTACGTCCCAACGGCGCGCGGGCTTGGGCTTGTTTTGCGCGGGAGTATTTGCACAGGTCCAAGTGTTGTGCGGGAGGGGGGAAGAAGAAAATCCGACCGTAGAAATGGCTGGTCAGCGAGTGTCTTCGTATACGAAGGAGTGGGAAAGGTGGTCCGGGGGGCAGAGAATAGGCAGATTACGTCTGCGACAAATGGGATCCAGGACAAGGGCGACAGCGGGGGCTTGGGCGCCAGTTTCCAAAAAGACGTAGACAAGGCGGCTCGAACGTGAACGGGCGATAAAGTGGGTGCGAAGATACAGGGCGGGATGGGGGGGGGGTAGTGATCTTGTTTTGAATTTGGAATTTCAAAGGGGGACGAGGATCGAGGGCTGTTGGAGACCCGAAACAGGTGAGGACGAATTGGGAAGGCAGCGAGAGAGGCTGAGGAAAGAGCGACCAGGCGGTAAAGAGGGCGAGAAACAGGACAACAAGAAAACAACACGAAACGATGACCTTGGATGTGCAGAATAGCGAAGAGGAAACTGGAAAAGCGACGGCGATCATGTCCCGCCAGGACGAAGTGTGTCGTATGTTTCTACGACATATTTCGTATGGCTGACGGTCGTGTTTCCCACTTTCAGGGCCCAGAGTGGTATCATAGGGAGCGCTGTTCTAGGAAAAGCGTGGAGAAAAAAAGGGGACATGAAACGTGCATCTGCCTTTCCAGGGGCTCTTGTAGTGGGAAGATGCGGAGGAAGGGGCAGGGCACTAACGAGCTGGATGGCTCCTTCTACTTCGGACGCAACGGCTGGGAGGGGCCTGTGTGGCTACGGTTTTGGCAGGAAGCATCGTCGTTCCTGCCCACCCCTTTCTTCGTCTTCGCTATTTTGCGTTGGGGCTCGAGGGGGAAAGAGCGAAAGAAGGGGGGGCTAATGTGCAAGAAAGAGCAAGAAAGTGAGCTAGCGCGAGCGCTCCTGGTTGTGAAGACGGCGGATTTTAGCAGTGCAGGAGCGACGGCCCCACTCGACGTTCTGACGACACGACGGAGTCAGGAATGAGTTGATCGCTTGTGCACGAAGTGATGTTTGTCGGAACGGGCTTTTGCCGGTGCACGACGCCGAGGGACGGCTTGGTACTGGCGAAGCTCGGACGGAGGTCTAGACGCTCTGACTCTCTGACTCTCTGACTCTCTGCACAAAGGAGTCTCATTGTGGGTTGCAAAATTTCCCGAGAAATTGGATGCGTCTCCGACGAGACTACATGTTGGGATGGCTTGACTGGCAGGAGAAGCGGAGAACGCAGCTGCAAGGTCCTTCTTCGCATCCGCCGTACGCGTACCAGCTCCTGTGAACGAAGCGGGGTCTCCCATCCGTGTAAATGGCGGTCACTCGACGCTGCAGAACGAGGGAGAAGTGAGGTGACGGTGGCCTGACTGGTGCTTTTGTGCGGTTGCAGGGAAGGGCAGTACGGTCCGTCTTTCTTTTCTTTCTCTGCCTACTGCCGTGACCGTCTGATGTCTAAGCTTGATCGTGCCCTGCCCTCCCATTTGCACTTTCTTTGCCCCTTTTGAATGGTGTTGTTGGACCTGAATTCGCTGGGTCTCATGGGCACGGATATCTGAGGGTTCCTGGACTAGTCTTCTTGCAGACAAGCTTGCAAGGCAGGCACTTTATCGTCTTAGGAAAGGCTGGCCTTCGTTTGTACCCTTGTATTGTCCTGTCTCTACGAATTATCTAGCTCAATACTCCGACACTGACCTTCTCTGTCTCTCGCAATTGTTGACTCAAGTGGGCCGTTCGCTGTAATCCAACTGCGTCGCCATTGCAATGCTCTCCCGACAAATCAGTACCTTGCAACACTACTTTGTACGGCAGCTAAGTCGTAATGAGACTTGTAATTGCACACTGGGTGGAAGGAAAGGCGGGGTGCTTTGGTGGGGTTGCAGCACAAGCGATACCGCCCAGTTGCGATTACCAAAGAAACCAGTCCACCACGGCCCTGCACATGAACGTCGCGAGGCTGCTGGACGACAATAGTCACACAGGCCGCGGCTGGGTATAGCCGTCATGCTTGGGAGTCCTCGTACCGGTTCAGTGATCCATTCCGTGCAAGGCCGGTCCGCTTGTTATCGTCACTTTGAGATGGCCCATTCAACTAATCACACCGCATCTATAATGGATGGTATGCACGTAAAGTACAGTAGAGATAGCGCTTATGTTGCGGTCGTGATGGCCACACGTGACAAATTCCGCTAGTGAGCTATCTCGATATGCCAGCTTAGGCATCCAAACGTCAGCCAAAAGCAGCATTCAAGTGTTTGTCTGTACCGACACGGCCCCAACATCTCAGAACTAGAGAGCAGACAAGACCGATCGTACACCCGCCATGCCCGACGAGCAGGACAAGCTTCCCAGCGAGCTGCAGCTGGCCACCGACGCCCACGTCAAGTACATCCAGAGTCTCAACTCGCGCCAAGATGAGTACGAGTACTGGCTGACGGAGCATCTGCGTCTTAACGGCCTGTACTGGGGCTTGGCATCTCTGTTTTTCATGAAGAGACCAGACGCCCTCCCTCGCGAAGAGACAATTGCCTTTGTGCTGTCGTGCCAGTGCGAGAACGGTGGCTTCGCGGCAGCGCCGGGCCATGATGCACATATGCTCTATACCGTGAGCGCTGTCCAGATTCTGGCCATGATCAATGCCCTGGACGAGCTTGACAACCGGGGACGCGGCCGAGAGGCCGTGGCACAGTGTACGTCTATTCGTGACTGCTACTGAGCTCCTACGCGGTATGTGCTGCTAACCGTCCACTTAGTCATTGCCAATCTCCAGAACCGCTCCACGGGGACATTCCAAGGCGACGAATGGGGCGAAGAGGACACCCGGTTCCTCTATGGTGCCCTGAATGCTCTGTCGCTGCTTGGTCGCCTGTCGCTTGTCGACGTCGACAAGGCTGTTGCATACGTCGCCGCCTGCGCCAACTTTGACGGCGGCTACGGCGTGCGCCCCGGCGCCGAGTCCCACGCCGGCCAGGTCTTTACGTGCTTGGCGGCACTGTCTGTCGCCGGCCGCCTCGACCTTGCTGATGCCGACAAGGTTGGCCGTTGGCTGAGCGAGCGTCAAGTTCCCAATGGTGGACTCAACGGACGACCCGAGAAGAAGGAGGACGTCTGCTACAGCTGGTGGGTGCTGAGCAGTCTGGCCCTGGTCAAGCGTCTGCACTGGGTTGATCGCGACTCGCTGATTGCGTTTATTCTGAGCTGCCAAGATCCAGAAAATGGCGGGTTCGCCGACCGCCCGGGAAACATGGTCGATGTGTGGCACACCGTCTATGCATTGGCAGGATTGTGTCTGCTTGATTATCCGGGGCTGGAACCCGTGCACGCAGGATATTGTATGCCCAAGGCGACGATTGCAAATGTTCTTGGAGGCGGTGCCGCACCACCGTTATGATCTGGAAGCGGGGGACAAAGACGTCACTTTTTGAATGCATTGCCAGTTTATTCACCGATCTCATTATCTGGCAAAAACCTATGGCTCAATCGTTCGTTCAGCCATTTAATTCTCTTGCTCCATTCCTCCATTTCAGGATTACATATGTAGCATTCCTCGGTCGAAGCGTGGCCACCATTTCTGCATCGCATCTACACATCTAGAAGTACAGCCATCCACATCCTATTCAGAACAACCGATTTCCATTCATATCCTAGTCCAAGTGCGTTGTTCGATCTCTAGCTATTTTGCGCCTTTCTCAAATAACGGACAATGGCCAGCCGATGCTGCTTACGTACTCGTTTGCGGCCTCGGTCATTTCTACGGTGCAGTTATGAGCACAATGGCCGGCCCATTTGGGAAGGAAGGCCTCGTTGGTCTCCTTCGCACCTTCCTCGCCTCGAAAAAAAGATGGCTGGCCAAAGCACGAGGAGGAGAGGGCCCCCCAACCCCAAAAACCTTATGCCCCGCGACATATTTCTGCTCTCGACATTTTCAGTCCTTCCTGCCCTTTTTGAACTATTTTTCACGACACGACAGGCAAGAACGAACAACCATACGACACAACACCAACTCAGCTCGAACGCGCCTTCCTCAGATGATCTGCTCTTGCCGTCTTTCTTTACTTCAGTCAAGATACAGTCGTTCTTTCTTCAAACTCGTGGCGTTGTACGCACAGAACAGGAAATCACGTCCCATCTCTCCTGGGCTCCTTCTCATTTCGCTCTCTTGCATCCCTATTCTGGGTGCCGTCTGATCGTGTCGTTCCTTCTTGTTTCCGCACTTGCTGTCATCTCTTTTGTTTTCTTACCCCTTTTCTTTCGACCTCGCTGGGGTCGTCAACCCCCTTTTCCGAGCAACTTACTCCCGGTGTCCTTCTACCTGCCGTGTATTCTTCTTTCCCTCGTCTCCCGCTCTCTTCCACCCTTTTTCTCTTCTTCGTCACTGTTTACATCGCATCTCCTTCTCCTTTCCTGCTTCTACCTTTCTCCATCTTTCGTTGAGATCATCTTCTTTCCAGCAGCAAATATGGATTGCTCCTTGCTAGAATTTGATTTTCGGCTACTCGCCATCGAGTCGTCCAGATTCATTCTGAACACAAACGTCAGTCAACATCGAGATTCCTGAAAAGCAGCTTGAATATCCAAGTCGACCCTGCTAACCATATCCTTTTCATCAGGCTCTTACTTTTGCATCACAAGATACCCTCTCGCTCCTTCCACCTCTCTATAAGTTTGGCACCGTGGAAAGAGACAAGTCTCCAATAGAGGACATCAGTAGAGTGGACTTTATGTGACAGGCCCCTTACCAGTTTAATCCACAAAAAACTGCCAACTGTCCTTCGTTCTCTACTTTTCCGATCGCCATCTTGATGTAAGCCGCGCTCTTTTTGTGTTCTCTTTCCTCGGTTCATCTGCTTGCCCTATCTCGCAACGTGGATTTCCACTCCTCCTTCACCATCATTTCGCAAGAAGCGCACTCCTCTTTCCATCTTGCATCATTTTATCTCGATGGCAAAGTGTCTCGGCCGCCTACCGGGAAGCATATGCCGTCCAATCTGAAATCAGATTGCAGTCACAGTTATTTTTTATTTACGACACATCCTGCACCTGCATATTTTCGTTGCCTGCATCTAATGTCAGTTTTGAAAAGACGCTGGCTGACCTCAGTTTATTCTCAGATCAAAATGGCTTCTGTTAAAAGCGTCGAAACTCGCGCTCCGGCTGTGACCCAGGTTACAACTCGATCTGCTGCAGGTTCTTCTGTTGCGGCTGCTATACCCTCCGCTGTTGAACCAGAAGTTGACCCTGCAACCAAGGCAGATGCCGCCGCTTCTGCGGACAAGTTCACAGTCCCGGTGGATGCCGAGCACTCCATCACACTGCAGTGCACTCTTTGTCCCAAGAATCCGGCCTTCTCGGATGCCTCTCACCTCCTGACTCACATCTCCTCCAAGGCTCACCTCCAGCAGCTATTCAACGTGGGGCTCAAAGCAAAGACCGACACTGCTGCGAAAGACAAGCTGGAGAGGTTTGAGAAGTGGTACGCTGACAATGACATTCAGCGTCTCCTGGCCGAGAGAATGTCATCCAAAAGTAAGGGAAAGGCAGCGCCTCGCCGCAGTCGGGCAGCAGCCACTCCCGTAAGTTTCTAATATCCCAGACTGCGCTGCTTCTTTTACCTTTCTACCACTCCAGATGCAAGTGAGCACGTGCTAATTGGTATTTTATATATAGAAGGCCAAGCCCCGGTCAGCCAGCGCCATCGAGCTTGTCAAAAATGATACAGATGGAGCGTCAGCCCGTCGCACGCCTACCCTTCTGCCTCCTCTGGCTCACTGGAACACTGCGCCATCTGGTCGTGACAATGCCTACTCTTCGGGGAGAGACATGCACTACCTGAATGGAACGCTCTACAACACCCCGACCCCGACAATACCACGTTCTGGAAGTCACGCCGGATACGCTGAGGATAGTGGCATTGCCATGGAGAACAATCCTGGTAGCCGTGGTGACAATTATAGCGTGGCTCCTCCATCTGAGGCCGACTCGTCTTTTGAGGCCAACAAGCTCAAGGGCATCATTTGGCCTGGTATGGATCTATTTGATTCTGCCACACCGGACCAAAAGAAGAAGAGAAATCAAAGAAAGGACGACAATGCCATTGACGTGCTCAAAACCGCCTCGTTGAATATCACCCCCACTGAGCAGGTCTGGGGTCCTCAACTTGAGATTCGCAAGGAGCGTGACCTTTACGCGAGCCCATCATCCAATGAAGGCACTCCGCCCAACACACCGCCAACTCGCAAGAGGAAGTCGCGGGCTCGGAACTCTGCCCAGTCAGATTTGACGCCACTCGGCGTGATGAAGGTGGAGGACGGACAGGGTGGGCCACCGCCCAAAAGACGCAACGTGCGTGCGTCTGGTAGCCGGACAACTTCCAAGGCTCGCGCAACACGACCATTGGCCCGGGCCGCTGACAAGGCAAGCGACAAGACGACGGCTGGACCTCGGGGGACTTCAGCAGAGATTGAGGAAGCGGTCTATGCATTGAGTAACCACAACCCCAAGCCGAGAAGTACCTTTAATGTCTACTATGAACAGAGCCACACTCAAGGTAACTTTGTGCTCGACTATGCGGACGACGGCGACCTGTTCGGATTGGACCTACCTCTTCTTGACCCTGTATTATACACATTACTGACATAGTTGCAGTCGATCCGCAAACGTCTATGTCTGATGCATCTCACGGGAACACGTAAGATAGTCCGATTTGTTTGGGTTTCTTTTTCTTTTTTTCTTTTCTTTTTTTTACAAAAATTAAAAAAACCTGGATGGTTGTTGCTAACCCGACTTGATGCAGCTTCGACTCACTGTTGCACAACCGTCCCGCTCTGCAGCAGCTCGATTCGAACCTCTCTATTACTGATGGCTCTCCTTACTTCAAGCATTCGACCTCGTCGAGCCAATTCTTCAACAATGGTAGACAGTCGCCGCACTTGCCTCCATACCAAAGCACTCAGCCGACAGCGTACGGCAATGGCTACCAGGGGATGAGCAACAGCACTCTCAGTTCACTCTACACCCAACCCCGGAGCGGAACTAGCAGCTTGTACCCACCCTTTGACAATCAGATGTTCAGTGGCAACTCGGGCAGCACGACCGACGGCACCACTGGCACGTTTCATGCTCCTGACAACCGGCGTGTCGGCTATGGGGGATTCAGCATGGAGCCGACTGGCAGCCCTTTCGGGTACACCGACCAGCGGGATGGTAGCCTCCGGAACACCAACTACGCGGACCCTACACTCCCGGGCCCGGACCGCCTATTTGAGCTGTGAGCTGTGAGCTGTGAGCTGTGAGCATTGATTGCCAAGAGGTGGTCTGTGTGTGAACTTGTACAATTGCTGGAGCTTTGCGAGTTTGGTCGTTTTATTATTCGTCTGCGAGAAATTTCGGACTGGGGTCGACTTTGAACAGCATCAACGACATGGGACGGTGTGCAACAGGGCATGGGAAATCCCGCGAGGGCATGTTTACTGCGGTCTACGTTTGCAATTATTCGGTTAGTGTGTTTAAATTTTGCGTGTTTACCTTTAATTTGTACGGCGTTGGCGGAAGAGCCATGGCAACCGGGCAGCAGTCGTCGGGCAATGGGCATCGGAAAGGTTTACAAAGAGGGCGGCTTTCAAGGCGGAAAATTCTTTGATTTTATATTGCATTTGCAATGGCACCCGGTTTCATTATATGTTTTAGAATTTCTTTCTTCTTTCCGTTTTCTTCCTATTTGCTTTCAGTCGTCTTTTTCAATTTCAAAATCGAGTCAGATGGTTGCGTTTACAAGCATACATGATTGAGACAGACCAGACCGCCGGCCATGAGTGTAGTTCTATGTTGACTGTGTGATGTGATTGCAGGTAGGTCCAGGAAGGATCAAGATGCACAAAAGACTAGAGCTGCTCAATGCTCGCGATGAGATGGTCGAGTTGGTCCGCGGCCGCTGCACCCGAGTCCGAGTCGGTCGCCGGCGACAGCACGTTGCCAAGGAGCCGTGCGGCCGCGTGCAGACGGCGCGCGCGCACATCGTCCTCCATCTCACGCGACTTGCGCGCTGCGACGTCGAGGACGCGCTGCGGGATGCGGGCGAGGCGGGCGACGTTGAGGCCGTACGAGCGGTGGGCCATGCCCCGGCCGACTTCGTAGAGGAAGGTGATTTCGTGGGGTGTGTCGCTGTTGTCCTCGGCGCCATCGGCTGCCTCGGGCCGCGTCGCCGTAAACCGCATGTGCACGTTCTGGACGACGCCCGGCGGCGGCCCCAGCGCCTCGGCGACGCGGCCCAGGTTCTGGTAGTGGGTGATGAAGAGCGTGAGACAGCGCGTGGCGGTGGCGACGTGGGCCAGCACGGCCTGGGCAATGGCGGCGCCGTCGTGGGTGCTGGTGCCGCGGCCGAGCTCGTCGAGGACGACGAGGGAGCGGGGGGTGGCGGCGCGCAGGATGGCGGCGGTCTCGGAGACCTCGACCATAAAGGTGGACTCGCCGGCAAACAGGTTGTCGCGGGCGCCCATGCGGGTGTAGATGGCGTCGGCGAGGGTCAGGCGCATGGCGTCGGCGGGCACGTAGGAGCCGATCTGGGCGAGCAGGGTCAAGAGGGCGACGGCGCGCACAAAGGAGGACTTGCCGCCCATGTTGGGGCCGGTGATGAGCAGCGCGCGGGGGCCGGGGCCGGGGCCGGCGCTGCCGTCACCGCCGAGTCGTGTCGTAAACGGAATGTAGCCCGACGGCAGCGTGTGCTCCGCAACCGGGTGGCGGCCGCCCTGAATGTCGAGCGTGGCCGGCGGGTCGTCTGCGTCCGTCCCGTCGGCCGACGTCGGCAGCAGCGTGGGCTTGCAGTAGCCCGGCAGGGCGGCGACGCGGGCCAGCGACAGCAGGGCGTCCAGGGTGGCCAGGGCGGCGACGGCGTCGCGCAGCGGCTGGTAGCAGGCGGCCAGGTCGGCGAGCAGGGCGGCAAAGGCGGCATCGCAGGCGGCGGCCAGGGCCTCCTTGTGCTGGTCGCGCTCGCGCAGGAGGCGCACGACGGTCGGCGTGTGGAAGCGCGAGGCGCGCTTGGTGCCGCTCACCTTGACCCAGGACGCGGGCACGCGGCGCAGGTCCGTGTTGAGCACCTCGACGAGGTACTCGATGCCGGCGACGGTGACGTACGGCGGCTTGTGCGTCTTGGCCAGCGCCGACGCAATGTCCGCCCGGTGCGCCTCGAGGTCCGTCTCGACGGCGGCGATGCCCATCTTGTAGCCGGCCATGTCGGCCGTCTCGTGGGCCTCGCGGAAAAAGGCGTACTTGTCGTCGCGGCGCGCGGCGTCGCCGTTGATCTTGTCGAGGTGCGCGACGACGGTGTCGTGGATGGCGGGCAGCGCGTGCAGCGCGTCGCGGAGCAGGGGCGCCCGGAACCCGTCGACGCCGAACTCGACGGCCGCCGCCGACGTCGACGGCACCGTGCTGATGTAGGCGGACGCAACGCGCTGCAGCGTCTGCAGGACGGCCACGAGCTCGGGCCGCGTGCACTTGCCGTAGTAGATGCGGAGCAGGCTGCGCTCGAGGTCGGTGGCGCGCGTGCTCGCCAGCAGGCGCTCCAGCTTGTCGCGGCGGCCGGCGCCGGCGGCGGCCAGCAGCTCCTCGACGGCGGCCACGCGGGCCGTGAGCAGACGGCGGTCGAGCAGCGGGCGGCCGATCCACTTGCGCAGGAGGCGGTGGCCCGGGCGCGTGGTGGTCTTGTCGAGGGCCCACAGCAGGCTGCCGCGCAGGCCGTGGTCGGTGGCGTTGCGGTAGACCTCGAGGCTCTCGAGGGTGGTGCCGCTGAGCAGCATGTGCTGGCGCGTGCTGAAGGCGGCAAAGTACTTTGTGAGGGCGAAGATGTGCTGCAGGCCGTACTCGGTCAGGTGCGTAATCATGGCGGAGAGGCAGACGGTGACGGGCGGCGCCAGGGACAGGACGGTGTCGAGCAGGCGGGCGCGCTCGTGGCTGTCGCTGTCGCTGTCGCTGTGGCTGTCGCCCGCCGCGGCCACGCTGTCTGCGTAAAACTGGGCCACGTGCGTCTGGGCGTCGGCCGGCGCCCCGGCGGCGACGCGCTCGACGCGCGTGCGGTCGCCAAAGACGTTGGCGGCGCTGCCGCTCAGGTGCTGGACCAGCTTCTCGGTGGCGCGCGACAGGGCGCCGACCAGCAGCAGCTCGCACGGCGCAATGTGCAGCAGCCGCGTCTCCATCTCGCTGCGCATAAAGCCGTCCTCGAAGCTGTCGTACAGGATGTCGCCCGTGGCCGGCTGCACGGCCAGCAGGCCGACGGTGACCTTTTCGTCGGCCCCGAGGCCGCCGCGCTGTGTCTCGGTCAGACAGAGCAGGTAGCCGGCCGATGTCGACGTCGCCTCATCGCCCAGCGCCCCCATGTCGTCAATGTACGTCCCCTTGGTGTACACGCTCGTCAGCGCGCGCACAAACGGCGCGTTGCGGTTGTCGCCCGCCTTCTTGAGCGCCGCCGTCTCCATCTGCCGCACCACGCCCACCTTGTGCCCCGCCGCCACCAGCCGCTTCACGTGCACCGGCAGCCGCGCCACCGGGAAGCTCGCCGACGCGAACCGGTCCAGGTGCGCCTCCGACGGGTGCTCGTCGTACCGCAGCTTGCCGGGGATGCACACAATGCCCAGCGTGCGGGCGGCCGCGCGCGCGTCTTCGCCGTAGATGCGGAACTTGTACCCGACCTCGACCACCAGCAGCGTGTCGAGGTGCTGCCGCTTGATGGCCAGGAACTGCTGGTCGCCCGGCGTCAGCTTGCCCGCCGTCTTTTTCTTGCCCGCCGCCGCCGGCTTGCCACGCCCGGCCGCCGCCGCGCTGTCGTCGTCGCCGTCCTCCGCGTCGGCCCCCGCGTCCTCCGCGTCCTCCGCGTCCTCGTCGCCCGCCCCGTCGGCGTCCTTGCCTTCGTCGCCCGCCCCGTCAATGACGAAATTGCGCCGTCGCAGCTTGGCCAGGCTGTCTGGGTGGCCGAGCTTCTTGACAAACTTGCGGTGCAGCTCGGCCTTTTTGCGTTTCGTCTCGGGGTCATCTGAGTCGGACGAGTCGGCCGGGTCTTTGTCGGCGGCGGCTCCGTTGTCCCCGAGTGCCCGCCCCGTCTCCGCGTTCTGCGACCGCGTCTCGTCGTAGATGTAGCGTTCTGTCCGACCGGAGCTGCGCAATGGCGATGGCTGTGCGGCGGCCGTCTGCTTTGGAGCGTCGTCCCCGTCGTCCCCGTCGTCCCCGTCGTCCCCGTCTTGTCTGTTCTCCTCCACGGTTTCTGGGACAAAGTCGTCGTCGTCGTCGTCGCCGTCGTCCACATTGTCTTCGCTGTCGTTCTCCTCGTCGCTGCCCCCTCTCGCCCGCTTCACGGCCCGGGCAAATCGACTCCGGCCGCTGCTGCCGTCCGTGGTCTTGGCTCTGCTCGTCGCGCCATTCGGTCCGCTCCCACGCCGTCTCTTGTTCTGGTCGACCTCGTCTTCGAGTGGTCGTTTCAGTTTCCGCGAGGGCAGCGACTGGGGGGGACTCGACGACGGCAGTGCATTGCTGGTGCCCGCACTCGGCTTGGGCGTAAAGAAGCTCGTCAGTGTCGCCTGCTTCTTTTGCGACGGGCCCGGTGTCGACATTGTGAGTGGTCGCGACGCGTATATTCCGTGGTTGCCAATGTTGGCATGTGGCCAGTGTCGTCAGTGTCGAGGGTGTAGTCAATAGCCGATGCCGATCTGGACGACTGCCTTGGCAGCCGGCAGCTAGAACGCGTCTTCCCAGCGCCTGAGGAGACGCGTTGAGCGGCTGCGCCTAGGCGTCATTGCGATTAAGTAATAAAAGTGGGCCTTTATTATGTAATGTTGTTAACCACATCCGTCGACATCAGTCACCAAAGCATGAATAGATCATGGAAGACAAGAGGAAACGAATCGGATAGCGAGAAACAAAGTGAGAAATGCTGAAAATAGTCATTGAGGCGACTCATGGTGACTGTGTTTGAAGGTAGACAAGCAGACAAGCAGACAAGCAGACAAGTAGACAAGCAGACAATGGCAGCAGTTTTCCCACGCATTTTCTTCATGGAGTTCAGAGATTGTGTCCAGCAGATGAGTATATCGAGTTGCTTTTCTTTTGTTTCCAAGGTATGTGTTTTGATTTTTTTAAATAAAATAAATATAAAGATAAAGGAAAAGATAAAAGAAAAGAGATATCCACGGCCAATATCTATGCCGTCTTGAAGGCTCAACGTTTGTTCAATGTCTCCGCAGCACATGAAACATCCAGGACGAAAAGCAGCAGAGGGACTCAAAGAAACGACCGTCCCTTGCGTATTTCGATACGATGCAGACGTGTCGGTGTTGCCCGGCCGGTTTCTCTTTACGTTGTGAGCGTCTGGGCAGTGCGGTCCAACAGACTGCATTCTACGACGGGCCAGAAACAGACAAAGACGGACCCCACAACTGCGCCAATGCAGCAATTCGTGCGTCCCCTTTCGAGAACCGTTCCTTTGTTGACGTTCCGGAAAGGAGCAGTAGTGGTCGGCACGAGGAGACGCGAGAAGGGAGGCAAGATGAAGAACGAAGAGGGCGAGGACAGAAGCCATGTGTCCGAGAAAAGGCCACCAAAGATCCCAGGTCTTACTTCACACAAGTATGAGGTGATGGCCGTCGGTGGTGCTGCGAAGGGAGGTGTTTTCCTTCTTTTGATTTTCTGGTTGTTTTTATTTCATTTCTCGTCTTTTCGTCTTCTCGTCTTCTCGTCTTCTCGTCTTTTTCTTGTCTTTTTTTCATCTCTTCCCTTCTCTTCTCAACATTCGTACACGTCGTAACATTGTCAGACGCTCGATTGTTCGTTGGCTGATTTTCACTTGCATACTTGTGTATTTGCTACTGCACAGTCATGCAGCTGCTCCCGTTTGCATTTGTGTTGGCCGGTTTGGCCATGGCCGGCTTCGTGCACGCCGATGCCGACACGGGCACCGAAGACGGGGTCGCCCGCCGGGCCACGGCGACAACACCGACGGGAACATCGCCGTCGACATACTCGCCCACGGTCGCGCCCGGCGGTCTCTCCGCCGCGCCCTCGACCGTCCCGACGCACACCATTGCCGTCGGCGCCACGGGCTTCAGCTTCACGCCCAACAACCTGACGGTGGCTGTCGGGTCCATCCTCGAGTTCAACTTTTATCCCGGCAACCACTCGGTCGTGCGCAGCGCCTTCAAGTTTCCCTGCATCCCCTACGAGGACTCGGGGCCCAACCGCGTCGGCTTCTTCAGCGGCTACCTCGACACCAATGTGTACTCGCCGGACGGGCCCAAGTTCCGCGTGCGCGTCAACGATACGGAGCCCATTTTCTACTACTGCTCGGCACCAAGCTCCTGCATATCACATGGCATGCTGGGGGTCGTCAATCCGGTAGGTTCCCATGTTCCCGTCCCCTTTCCCCTCCTCCCAGCGCTCATTGATCCTCGCTGACTTGCTTTCTTGGTAGAACGCCACGTGGACGCTCCAGGTGCAGCAAGAGTATGCGGCCAATACGACGATCCAGCTGGCGCCTGGTGACCCTCTGCCGTCGGAAATGGCTCCGACGTCTGCTGGGGGTCCCGGTGCGACTGGAGCGTCAGGCGCGGGCTCGTCCACGCCGTCGTCGGGCCTCTCCTCGGGCGCTGTCGCCGGCGTTGTCATTGGTTCCATTGCAGGTGTCATTGCTCTCGCCGGACTCGGTATTGCCGTCTTTTGCTGCATGCGTCGCAGCCCGCGCTGGCAGAAGGAGCGCCACCGCCGGCTAGCTGGACTTGGTTATGGAAACGGACACGAAAATGGGGGTGGCAGCGGCAGCGGCAGCGGCAGCATGGGCAACGCGCTGTCCCCGCTGTCGCCCGCGGCCCATCTTCATCATGGCAGCTCGCCCAGCCCGGGCGCCGTCGTGGGAACGCCTCCTGGACAACAACAGAACGTGCAGTTCCACCGGCCGTATCCGTACGGCCAGTCCCCTCTCCATCACCCGTCGTCGTCGTACTCGCCGCCGCTGTCGGCCGCCGGGACCGGCCATGCCCATCTGCCCATCTACAACAGCATGTCCACCATGGCCACCCTGTCGCCGCTGCAGAGCCACCCAACCCACCCCACCCACGGCACCATGGGCGCCATGATGGCCGGCGGCGGCAGCACGTACAGCACGTACTCGTCCGTCGTGGCCCAGCAGGGCTCGCCCAGTCCGTACGCCGACAAGGCCTACTACCGCACGTCGCCGCCTCTGCCCGCGCCCACGCCGCCGCACAATTTGCCGTATCCGCAGCATCTGCAGCCGCAGCCACGTCCACATCCACAGCAACAACAACCACCCGCGCCGGTGGAGCTCCCAACATCGGCTGCAACGCCCGTCCTCGCCCCGTACCACATCCACGACGACGGCGGTCTGCGTCCTCCACCGCCCGCACCGGCCATCCCTCGGGCCGAGTCGCCCACCATTGGCGGCGTCGGCCAGACATGAGCCAAGGAGGACGAGGCCACTGAGTTGACAAGGATGTAGGGGGAGGGGGGGTATATTTCTTGGGTGTTGTCTGATGTTTTGCTGATGTTTTTCTACTGTCATTTCCCTTGACTGCCTGTTCGTTTCGTTTACGTCGTTTGTGTCTTCTGTTTGCGAGATCTTGAGTTGTCCCGTCTTTCTGGATAAAGGCCACCGATTCTCGTTTGTCTTCCTTTTCCCGGGAACTGGGGCCGCATATAGCAATCCATCCAACCGCTGCATCAACAAGGTACTCTTCACACGTACTGGATAAATAAGGCTGGCGACTCTCACGTGGCCGTATTTCACCACTGTCTCACCCGGGGGAGTTGTACACTGCGGTATTTTGTGTCTGACATTTACAAAGAAGCGAGCGGGCAAAAGACCGCTCGCGGTGAGATCAGACGGGCGCAGGCTGAGGCGAGAGGACCGTGGCACGGCGGCTGGCGGCAGACGTCTCACAGACTGTTGAAAACGACGTCGTGTCTGTTGGTCGCTGAACGCTAGTGGACGTTCTCACTACAGTTTAGGGATCGTAGCGCTCCCCTTCCAGACGGAAGCGGCACTTCTCCGCCCGCACTGTTTCTGCCGCCGTGTCCTTTTCTCTAAATGCTTCCCACTCCGGCGCCCATGCACGGGAGGGGACAGAAACGCCAAGTCATACGCCTCACACAAAGCACTCTTCGTGACGTTCTCAGGGTCGTGCTGCCGGAGAGAGAGACGAAGGAGAAAACGTGCGAACAGACCTGTCTCCAAAAGGTACTTTCGATACAGTGGCAAATCTCACTCGCGGCATGTACCCAACGTTGCCCCACACCAAACAGTGGTTTTAGCGGTTTGACGCTGTTTTGCACCAAAACGACCACTAGCTTCCAGCCCACAGACCACGCATGCTAGTCTGCAGCAAGGAGCGAGGGTCGCAATTACCCTCTAAACTCTACTGTCCACATGCCGGACACGGCAGGAACGCTCGGTACCTGCACGCCCACCAACGCCTGCAGCGCGCCAAAGTACCGCAGCGTCCCCCGCCGCCTCAGAAAGGACACATTGCCCTGGGAAAGGGGAAGGTGCTTGTGCCGCTTGGGTCACTTCCACTGGAAGCTTTTGGCGCGCCGGACCTGCGCTGGCACCTTCCGTACCTGACCTCCTTCCTGGAGCTTCACCTCTGCTCAACCTGCTGGCCTTTTCCCGATCCCACATCGTCCCTTCCGCTTCTTCCTCTCTCCCCTTCTCAACAACACGCCAGTCGGTCTCGTTTCCCTGTTTTCCCTGTTCCTGTTTTGCTTCGTCTGCCCTGGCCCCGTCTCCCCGTCTCTCCACGCACAGCCTTTTCTTGTCTTGTTTTCTGTTGTCGTCCAGCATTCCTCTATTGTTCTCTTCTGTTCGCCTGTCCACCTCGAACGTTTCCAAGCTTTGGCCACCTGGCGAATCGCGTCGTTTTGTGTCCCTCGATTCCGGCTCCGACGAAAAGGCCTCTCGACTCGACTCCTACCTCTCGGCCGTCGTGTCGTCTCACCATCGCCGCGGTCTGCCGTCGTGACGACTCTCTTTCGGTCGACTGCCCCTTTCGGCTCTTTCGGCTCTGTCTAACGGACATCTGTTTCGAGATACTGCGTGTCTCCGTGTCCTTTTGACCCTCTGTCCATTGGTCTTTGCTCTCGCGTCTTCGCATCCCGCGTCTTTTTGGATACCCCGTCTCAGAAGACTGCCTCTCGACGTCCACGTCCTCCGACCACCGTCTGACACGCTGCCGCCCAAACATCATCTGAGCTCTGCGAGCTTGTCGTACCTCCCATACCCCCATCTACTCCAGCGTCACCCAGCGCCTCTCTCCCTCTCTCCCTCTCTCCCTCTCTCCCTCTTCCTCTTCCTCTCCTCACAATGGCCCACCTCCGCAGCGGCGCCTCCGGCTACGGCATCGGCCAGCCCAGCCCCTTTGGCGGCGCCTCACAAAACAACGGCGACGGCTCCGGTGGCAGCGCCCTCGATACCATCCGCCAGCAGACGAGCAAGCTCGAGGACCTGCTGGACACCTACTCGGAGCCCGTCAAGCCCTACCTGCCGGCCATTGGCCGTTTCCTGATCGTCGTCACCTTTCTGGAAGACGCCCTCCGCATCGTCACCCAGTTCAGCGACCAGCTGCGCTACCTCCAGGACTACCGCCACATCCCCTGGGGCCTGACTCACATCTTCTTGATCGCCAACGTCCTGGCCATGGTCTCGTGCTCCGCCCTCGTCATTGCCCGCCGCTACTCCGTCTACGCCGTCGGCGGCCTCATCGGCGTCGTCGTGTCGCAGGCCTTTGGCTACGGCCTCATCTTCGACCTCAACTTCTTCCTCCGCAACCTCTCCGTCATGGGCGGCCTGCTCATGGTCCTGTCCGACTCGTGGATCCGCAAGACCCAGGCCTTTGCCGGCCTGCCCCAGCTCGAGGAGAAGGACCGCAAAATGTACTTTCAGCTGGCCGGCCGCGTCCTCCTGATCTTCCTCTTCATCGGCTTTGTCTTCAGCGGCGAGTGGACCCTCGGCCGCATCTTTGTCTCGCTGCTCGGCCTCGTCGCCTGTGTCATGGTCGTCGTCGGCTTCAAGGCCAAGGCCAGCGCCACCCTGCTCGTCGTCATCCTCAGCATCTTCAACGTGCTGGTCAACAACTTTTGGACGGTACGTGCGTTGTGTAGAGATATGTAGATGTGGTACTCGCTCGCGTCGCTCACTTGTTTGTCACCTGCTAACTTTTTTCTCTTCGTTGTAGCTCCACGAGCACCACCCGCACAAGGACTTTGCCAAGTACGACTTCTTCCAGATCCTGTCTATCGTCGGCGGTCTGCTCCTGCTTGTCAACAGCGGCCCCGGAAAGGTCTCGTTTGACGAGAAGAAGAAGGTCTACTAGGCGAATCTTGAGTCGGTGCTCACGTTGCTCTGGCCCGTTCTTGTTGGACTGCTTGGACTCACCGACACCTCTTCACCTCGGCAACATCGTAGCCTCACGAATCTTACGAAATCGCACGACACGAAATAAAATAAAATAAGGATGCAAGACCCAAACTCCCCGTACGGCATGCAAACCACAAAAAAAGAGACCAAAGCGAACGAATCCGAAAATCAACCCTGTGGAGTACAGTCTTGGGGACCATTGGTCTGTCATTACTAAAAAGAGCAGTACGGACTGTGAGAAAAGAAGCTGAAAAGATACAAAAAAAACGAGACGAACTTGGGGCTGCACAGAGGACATTTCGACTCCTCGGATAGAAGAAGAGATGTGGTTGAGCAACAGCACCACCAAAACACCTGTGGCCTTTTTTTTTGTACAGTCGGGTTCGGCCATTGGGCTCTGTGGAGTTTACTATGCGTGTTTCTTGTCAGATGTTTTTTGTTTCCTTTTTTTCCGTTTTGTGAAAAACATTTTTGTTCAGTTTACTCATCATCACTACTATGCAGTCGTCTTGTATGTCTTGTTTTACAAAATACAAAATACAATTTTAAATATGGTGGGAGTGCCAGTTAGAGAGTGATGTTGCCAGTCGTGAATGGGAACTACCCCAGAATTACGCTTCATGCAATGTCCTGTCTATGCATATGCTGCATGAAACGAAAGAAGAACAAAAACACCCTGATCAAAAAGAACAACATCAAAACGAATGGTATCAAAGCACTCAGTCTACTGCCCCCATACCTCTCTGCTCAGTTGCCATTGTCCGCGGCAAATGGCCAGCTGTATTCCACGCTAAAACGGCTGCTTCCACTGGCCGGCGGGTTGCTGTCGTTGTTGTTGCTGCTGCTGCCAATGCCGTTGCCATTGTTGTCGGCGTACAGGCTGTAGAAGCTCTCGTGGTCGTCCACCACCTCGTCGTCGGTCAGCTGCAGGTCCTCCACCGTGCCGGCAATGTCGGCGAGCATCACTGCGTACAGGTGGCTCATCTCTGTGTCGTCGGCCAAACCGCCGCTGCTGTCATTGTTGTTGTTGTCGTTGTTCTCGCCCGCAAGGCCACCGTTCTCCTCCAGGTCCAGCAGCATCAGCAGGTTGGCATCCGCCTCCGACGCCGACCCGGCCAGTCCCAGCCCCTGCTCGACCACCTCCATCTCGGCCAGCAGCCGCGCGCGCTCCGCCACGACGGCGCGGCACCACACGCGCTCGCCGCCGTGCCTGCGCTGGAGGGCCCGGCGGTCCTTGCGCGCCTGCACCGTGTGCTTGGCGCGCAGCGCGTCGCGGACTTCGTCGCACACGGCCCGCTCCTCCTCGGCCAAGAACGTGGTGTGGGCCAGCTCGCGGTCGCGCCACTGCACATAGGCGTCGAGGTGCGCGTCGTTGGTGCGCTGGTACGCGCGCAGGGCGCGGGCCACCAGGTGCGCGTGGTCGTCGCGGCCGGTCCAGGCGGCGTTGGCCTCGAGGAGGCCGCGGTACTCGCTCTCGAGCCGCGCCTCGAGGGCCGTGCGCGCCGCATAGTCCTGCTTCCAGTGCTGCTCCGCGGCGCGGATTTTGGCCGCGGCGGCGGCGGCCGTCTCTTCGCGGCGCCGGGCCACGCGCGCATCGGCGTCCGCGGCGTCGTGGGTCTGCTGCGCGCCGTGGGCGACGCGCTCCTGGCGGCGGGCCTGCTGCGCGTGCATCGCCTGCGCGGCGCCCAGCTGCGCCAGCGTCGTCCGCAGCGCGTCGTACTTGGCGGCCACCTCGGCGGCCAGTTCGACCTCCCGCTGCTGCCGCAGGCGCTGCAGACGCGCCCGCTGGGCCTGCTGGATGCGCTGCAGCTTCTGGCGCTCGCGCTGCTCAAAGGCGGCGACCTGGGCCAGGGCGTCGCGCAGCTCGGCGAGCTCGGCATCGGCCTGCTCGGCCTGCCGGCGCACCCGCTCGCGCTCCCGGGCTTCGCGCGCGGTGCGCTGCACGCGGCGCGCGTCGGCCTCTCTCTTGATGCGGGCCAGGTCGTCCATGCTGCAGCGGCACGTGTGCCAGACCAGGCCGCACACGTAGCAGAACTCGGCGCCGCACCGACAGGTCATGTGCTGGCAGGCCTCGCGGTGTTCAATGATGACGGCACAGCGAATGCAGCGGCGCCAGCCTTCCTCGGCGGCCAGCTCGTCGGCCAGCTGCTGGTCGCGCCGGTCTTGCGCGGACGCTTCGGGACACGCCTCGCGGTTGTCGGCGCCGCGGCCGTGGGCGGGCTGGCGGCAGGCGGTGCAGGTCTCGTGGCCGTTGCGGCAGCGGGCGATGCGGGCGACCTTGGCGACGTGGGCGGGCGGCACGTAGACGCCGCAGTCGACGGTGGGACAGTAGACGCGGTCGGCGATGGGCATGGCAAACTCGTCGACCTTGTCCTTGTACTGGCGGGCGAGGTCGCGGGGCACGTATTTTGTGACGGTGGCACTGGGCACTTCGTTGAGACAGCACTTGGGCGGGAACTGGGCCTCGTTGGCGAGGGCGGTGGTGACGAGCTGCTGGAAGCAGTCCATACAGTACGCGTGGCAGACGGTCTGGACGGCTTCCTTGCGGGGAACATCTTCGAAGCAGGAGATGCATTCACTGTGTGGCGTGTCAGTCATTGGCATAAATATACGGTGAAAACGGAAAAGAATCGACAGTATGAAAGGGGCAAGGGGGTAGGGGGGATGGAGACGTACATTGTGGGCGGCGGGGCCGGCTCTTTCTGCTTCTCCATGTCCTTGCGGACCATGGCCAGAAGCATAGCGGCGCGACGCTGTGTCGGGAGAGGCGCCGTGGCGGGGAGGGTCGTGGTCGGTGATGGCGCTGTTGTCGCATCGTCGTCGGTGATGCCAACGGCAGTAAAGGCAGCCGGTGTTGCGATCGACGAGCTGCCCTCCAATGTACGTAGCATCGCCTGCTCGTAGGCCTGCTGCCGCGTCCGAGTGGACGACCTGGCCATCTTGTTGGACAGTCTCTTGATGGGCTTGCCGGACGTGGCGCTGACACTGCTGTTGGTGCGATTCGCCACACCCGCGCCCGCACCCAAGCCGTCGCCTTCGCCAAACTGCCGCAGCTGGGCCTGTTCGTACGCCCGCTGCAGCGCCGCCCGTGCTGCTGCAGCCTGTGCGGCCTGTGCGGCCTCGGCTGCGGCGGCTGCTCCGGCCGCACTGCTCTCGCCACGGTCGCTGCTCCCGCCGAGGACGTGCACGTGGCGCAGCATGCGGGAGGCAAACATGTGTCGTTTGGATTTCTTGGGCAGTGCCGGCGTCACGGGTGGGGGCGGCCGCAGGTCGATGGGTTCGGGCATGTGGCGCGTGGCCGTATCGCGCGCTTTTCCCTTGCTGAGGGCAGCCGCGGCGCGCCGTTCCTTTTCCAGCTGCTCCTGTCGACGCCGCTTTTCTTCCGCGCGGGCGGCTGCTGCCGCCTCGGCCTCGGCCGCCTTGACCTTGTCCCGCTCGGCCTTTTCGGCGACGGCGACGGCGAGCTGCGCCTGGACGCTCTCGAGCGACGACGAGACAATCTCGCGCAGCAGCTCGGGCACCTCGGCGCCGCCGGGCAACGCCGGAATCTCACTGAGCGCTGTGGGCGGCGCCACGTCGGCCCAGGCCAAATCGTCCTCGTCGGCGACGGTGCCCAGCAAGTCGTCAGCCTGGCCGTCTCGGACGAGAAAGAGGGGCAGCGGAACGTCGACCTCGTCGTCGGTGTCGGCATAGTCGGCGGCCGGGTCGTCCTTTTCGGTCTCGGTTTCCGTGTCGCAGTCCCGTTCCGAGCCGTCCTCGGACGTTCGGTCGGTGTCGAAGCTGCCGCGGCCATCACTCGGCGTCGACCCTGGCGTCGGCGGTGCCAGTGTCGAGGCGGAGTCGTTGTTGTTGCTGGTGAGCGACGTGCGGATTCTGGACGACGAGCCTTTTGTGCCGGGTCGGGACAGGTCAGGGCCGAGCAGCGTCGAGACGTCAAAGCCGGACGCGGACGCGGATGCGGACGCTTGTGGTGCTGTTGATTCTTGTGGAGCCTTTGGTGTGCTGGCTTGTGCTGTCTCGTCGGCCTGCGTCTCTGCCGTCACTGTCAACTCCGGCTGCGGTAGCGGCTGCACCTCGGCCGTCAACGTAGAGATTGTCGGCCCGTCGACCGGCGGCTGATATGCCATCGGCCGGATGACGATCCGCTGCACCTCCATCTCCTTGACTTCCTTTGTGTACTCCTCCACCGACAACAGCGGCGTCAAGTTTGTCAGGACGGCCCCTTTGGGCAAAATGGGCGGCTGAAGCCGGGCGATGGGCAGAGAGTGTCGTTCGCGAATGGGCTCCTCTTCTTCAGCAGTGACTGTGGAGGCAGATCCCATGGGCGAGAGGTGGAGATGTTGGCGAGAGGGTGATGTTGGTGATGTTGGTGATGATGGTGATGATGGTGATGATTGCTGTTGCAGGATATTGTCGAATAATAATGCAGGGAGGAGAAAATAAACAAAATAGTAGAGGAAACATAAAGAAGGAAGAGAGCAAATCGACTTTAGATGAAAGAAAACAAAAGTACAGATTGAAGCAGATAAAACTGTTGGCCTCGTTTCAGCGGCAGGCGACTGAGGCTACAAGAACAGAAACCGAACATTCCACAATCAGTTAACCACCAACCTTGATCTTTCTGCAGAGACAGAACCCACCGGCAAGGCAGCACAAGGCTTGGGTCTCTTTAAAGGTAGGCGTGTGGGTGGACGGCCTGGGCGACCGAGACAAGTGAATAGGCGCAGCATCGTCCAGGCGAAGGAAGACAAACAAAGTCGAGGCCCAGCTCAGCACAGCATCGCACAGCAGGCCACACGGCCGGCAGCTCGAACCGGCGGCAGCCTTGCCATGTGCAGGGGCAGTGTTTAAGGACTGGATCTGTGGGAGGGGAAAAGGGAAAAGGGAAAAGGGGAACAACAGGAGTGGACAGATGCGGGACTCCTTTTTGGGCCAAGGCTGACTCTGGCCTGTCACGATCAAGCGCGCCTTCCTTGGAGACGGGTTCTATTGGAGGCAAGTCCTGGCAGGCGCGAACGACGGGGGGGAGCAGACAGAAGGCAGCCCCGACTGCCATCGCATCCCCGCTCTCCTGCTGTTTCTGTTGGTTTACTAGCATTTGCATTATACAGGCAATGACAGCAGAACGAAGCAAGGGCCACGATGAACTGGCCACGATCAACTGGCCACGATCAACGGGCCACGACGAAATATGTGGTCGTGTACGATTAATTACCCGTATTCTGAAAACGCCCTGGGCTGCGCTCGTGGGCGGCGTACCAGCAGACGATTGGCTGCCAAACAAATGATCGGTCAAGAGAAACGGCAAGCCAGGACGAAAAACAGCCTTCTGTGGCTGTGTCAACAGGTGCTGTGCCAGTGGCAGTGGAAGCAGTTAGCGTGTTCTAGGTCCTTTTGGCGGTCCTGTAAGATATCTTACCTGTTCAGGCGCCTGTTGACCGGATCGCCCCGCCAAGTCAGGCCTGTCCAATAGGGGACTGCCGATCGCTGTTATTCGCCCCAGGCTGTCGGGGGCATCTCCCGGCTTTGTCTATCCTTCCACATCTTGTTTGTCAATGTACGACACGCAAAAGACAGCTCCGATGGCCATGTCATAAGTGTAATCTTACATGTATTTAGACACGCTCGGCTAGGCTCACTCTGACGTCGAAGCTCGATCTATCTCCATCCTGGATTCGAGCTCTTCTATGCTCGCTGTCGTGTCCCAGCGTCCTGGCTCGACCGACCGGTTTCGTTGTCGTTTCTGTCGTTTCCACTCTCGTCATCGGGCGCGCCTCGTCGCCGGCCGCCTGCTCCGTACTGTGGTACAACCTACAGCCTGGGCCTCCCTGCCGCAAACTCGACCCGGTTCGTGCACGTCCCCACGCCCTCCAACGTCACCTCGACCACGTCGCCGTCCTTGAGCCACAGCTTGGGGCTCCGGCCCATGCCCACGCCCGACGGCGTGCCCGTAAAGATCAGGTCGCCCGGCTGCAGCGTGGTGCCGCGGCTCAAAAAGGCAATCGCCTGCCGGACATTGAAAATCATGTCGGACGTGCGGCTCGCCTGGACCGTCTGGCCGTTGAGCTTGGTCGAGATGGCGAGCGCCTGCGGGTCCAGCAGCGACGCCCGCACAATGCCGGGCCCCCACGGCGCCCACCCGTCGAAGCCCTTGCCCACGGACCACTGCCCGCCGCCGCGCTTCAGCTGCCAGTCGCGGTGCGACACGTCGTTGCCGACGGCGTAGCCCAGCACCACGCCGAGCGCGTCGGCCTCGGGCACGTCCCGGCACCGCCGGCCAATCACGGCCACCAGCTCGCACTCGTAGTCGAGGCCCTCGCCCTCCTGGGCCACGGCGGGCACGGGGATCGCGTCGTGCGCGCCGCCCAGGCTCGTGGCCGGCTTGTAAAACAGCACCGGGTACGCCGGCAGCGCCATGCCGGACTCCTTGGCGTGCAGCGCGTAGTTGAGGCCCAGGCACCGCACCGTCCGCACGTCCTCGGGCGCCAGCGGCGACAGCAGCGTGCGCACCTCGGCCACCTCGTCCGTCACCGTGTGCTGGCCAAAGATGCTGCCGCGGACGATGCGCGCCTGTGTGGCCTGGGCGAGGTCGACGACGCCGCGCGGGAGGAGGGCGTCGCCGTAGTAGATGCAGCCGTCTTTGGCGAGGAAGCGGATGAGGCGCTGGACGGTGTGCGATGCAGTTAGATGTGTGGACGGGCGTAGAGCAAGCGTCGACAGCTGAAGTAGGACATAGAGCGGAAACTCACCGAAAAGGAAGCCATGTTGGCGATTAGAAATGGAGGATAGAGCGAAGACAGAGAAGACAGAGAGCGGTCGCAAGAAGGAGGAGAGGAAAGAGGAGAGAGGAAAGAGAACAGAGGGCTCATAAGAACGACAGCAAAAGAGAAGCATGCGGGCGGCACGGAAAGCTCTCTCACCTTTTGCTTCTCTTTTATTTCTTCCGTCGCAGCGAACCCCAGATCCACAGAAACAGAACCAGAGATTCCGCCGTCAGTTCGCTCCGCTCTGACACTTCCGCTTGCTAGCTAAGCTGGCTGGCGTCCTGGCCACCCAAAGTCCTATCCATGATCTGTTGCCGTGTATTTGGTGAGGCGCGGAGCAGATTGGAGTCTTGTCCAGCTGCCATGGCTTAGGCGCAAAAACTGCGATACAGCGATGGCCCTCCCCCACCTCCGATACAGGCAAGAAGCGTGCTCGGATGGCACCTTCCCCAACGAACGGTAGGTGGACTAGACTGCGACAAAAGGGCAAGTGCGACCGCGACCACATCGGGCCCACTTTCGTCATTGGCGCTTTCTTGAGCTGCGCCGAGTTTTCGAGTTGACAACCAAAAACCAAAATGCGACGCACTTTGTAAATCACAAACGACGACAACCCCCTCGTCACTCCAACGCTTGACACAACCACGCATTGTGCCCCTCCCCCACAATGCGTCTCTCTGGTCTCCAGCGCGAGGTTCTCAGCCTCTACCGCCAGTGCCTGCGCGCCAGCCGACAAAAGCCCGAGGTGAGTGGAAACGATAAACGATACGAGACGGACAAAGTGGGAGGAGAAGCTCTGCGAAAAGCCCAGGATGGCGGACCGGCAAAATCCCGGTAACCCCATCCTAGGACTAGTTCCTTGCACTGTACTACGACTACCATTCACACCAAACTGAGAAACATTACCCAAAGAGGAAATCCAGAGGAAGAAATAAGGAAGAAAAGAACAAGTACAGCAAAAAGAAGAAGCACAAGCACAAGACAAGCAACATTTACCTACATCGGGTTAGCCTGTTGGAGACGAGTTTGCACTGCTAACACATCCGCCACTCACTCGCCAGGCGTCCCGCGCCCACTTTGAAGCCTATGCCCGCTCCGAGTTTGCCAAGAACAAGGGATTGGGAAAGAAGGACTTTGCTGCGATTGAGTTTCTGTTGAGAAAGGGGAGGCGGCAGCTGGATGCCATGTCGTCGCCGGGCATTACAGATGTGCGCTGAGGCGAGCCGTTGTGACGAAGGCGGCGACGACGACGACGTGACAACGAAACGGCGTCGACAGTTGAGCGTACAACTGTCTACCACCAGGGATTGACGGCAATGACATCCATGGCACTGTCAGACTGAAGACTGCAATGCTGTCTGAGCAGCCGACTGTTATCAGCATCGATGGCGCCGTGCCAGTTGTGAAGATGGCGATGCAAATACCCGACACAAGAATTGTACAAAATACTGTATATTGTATTCTCGCATTCTCGTGTATTTTGCTCCAACACTGACCGTCTTGAATAAAGAAATGTTATTACCTCGACCGCCTGGACGGTGGATCAGCAGACGGACCGATTGATGTCTGATGGCGGGTGAAGCAGACTGAGGACGGGACGGGACGGCGGATAATCAAGCCTGGCCCGGGAACTATTTGTGAGCATGTTTAAAATAGATCGGAGACGAGTACGTAGTGTATTCGCAGAAAAAAACATTGATTGCAGAGTAAGACGGAAATTAAGGTACAGTATGATGGCAAGTAAGAACGACATGAAAGGGAAGAAATTAAGGAATGAAAAATGAAAAATGAATTATGAAAACACGGAAAGGCAACCTTTTCCCCTTTTCCTGTACCAACACCCCAACACCCCATCACCACCGCCACCACACCCTCAGCTTCTCCACATTCAAATCCGCTCGACCTCGTTGAGGTGCAGCTCCTTCTCGACCTGCGTCAGGTCCATCTCCGGCACGGCCGCGTCGGGGCCGTCAATGACCTTGGCCAGCTCCTCGAGGGTGGGGCCGCGGGTCTCGACGTACATAAAGTAGACAAAGAGGAGCTCGAGGAAGATCCAGCAGGTGTAGATGAGGTAAAACTTCCACGAGTGGGCGTTGAAGTAGTCAAAGGCGACGGGGTTGGCGTAGACGTTGAGGGTCAGCGCGGCCTGGATGGTGTAGTTCATAATCATGAGGCCCTTGCCGCGCAGGCGGTAGGGCAAAATCTCAATGGCGTAGCCGACGAGCAGGCCGGACCAGGCGAGCGAGTAGAAGACGCCAAAGAGCCAGATGAAGAAGATCATGGCGTACGAGGCGCGCTGGAGGTGTTGATCCTGGTAGAGGCCGGCCGTCAGGGTCCAGAAGACAAACGTGCCAAACATGCCGGCCGTGGACGCCAGGAACATGGGCCGGCGGCCGATGCGGTCGACGAGCATGGCCATGCTGATGGAGACGATGAGGGCCAGCCCCGTCTGGCCGCCCGACAGGCCCAGCTTGGTGGTGGGGTCCGTGATGCCGGCCGTGTCGTACAGGATGCTCTGGTAGTTGCTGATGATGGCGTTGCCGGACCACTGCGAGAAGATGCCGAGCGAGATGAGCACGGCGAGGCGGTAGCGGTTGCCGCGCGTGCGGAAGAAGTCGAGGTACGTGCTGTTCTTCTTGCTGGCCATCTCGAGCCGGATCGTCTCCTTGATCTCGCGGTACTCAAACTGCACCGTCGGTGGTTGGCGTCGCCGCTGCCGTGGTACTTGGTCAGGATCGCCAGCGCCTGCTCGTGCTTGTCCTTGGCCATGAGGAAGCGCGGGCTCTCGGGCACCCAGTAGATGAAGAGCAGCTGGATCACCGACGGCAGCCCCTGCAGCAGCGCCGGGATGCGCCACGAGCTGTTGTTGTCGAGGTAGTTGGTGCCAAACGACACCCACGTCACGATGAGCGCGCCCACGTTCCACAGGCAGTTGTACACCGTCGTCAGCCGGCCGCGGTGCTGCGGGTGGCACAGCTCCGTGAGCAGCATGGGCGACGCGATCTGGGCCAGCGAGTTGCCAAAGCCCAGCAGCGCGCGCCCGCCCATGAACGTGCCCAGGTTCTGGCAGCTGCCCTGCAGCACGGCGCCGACAATCATGATGACGCAGCCGACGGCGATGGGCGGCTTGCGGCCCAGGTTGTCGGTAAACAGGGGGACCAGCGGGATGGAGCACAGGCTGCCGATCTGGTAGAGCGCGCCGAGCAGGCCGAGCATCGAGCCCTGGGGGTTGCCAAAGAAGTTTTTCCACGAGTCGAAGTTTTGGACCGAGTTGAAGAACATTCTACAGAGTCAGAAGGCACAAAGGGAAGCCGGGAGAGAGAGAGAGACAAAAAGAGGAGTGTCCATACCCATCGTAGCCTGTAGTGGCCGAGGCGACACACAAGACAATGGCATAAAAGTAGAGCTTGCGCAGACCCGGCTCGCGCTTCCAATCGACCTTTTCAAACTGCGGGCCCTCTGCACCGCCCGATGCCGGGGCACTCACGGCGAGAGGCATGGTGGAAAGGGGGCGGGGGGAGGAAAACGAAGAACGTAAGAAAGAAACTAAAAGAGTGACGGATCCGACAAAGCAGAACGAGGGCAAACTATGAAACAGGGAAATAGTGAGTCAGTCCAAAGACGTGGACAGTCACTGTATGGGCAAGACCAGACAGGGAAAAGAAGAAACGAGAAGAAAGAGAAAACGGGTAGGCAAAATGGCACAGGAGAGGAACGACCTCCTGAGAGAGATATGTTTATATAAGACAGAGGAAGGATGAGACGGGAGAGAGGATGGACAGTCAAGCATGCTTCCCCAGAGCTATAGCAGGACAGCTATGGACTGAACTGTGTGCGCGTACAACAGACACAGACGGCCACAGACACAGGCAGTAGATCCCATACGGCGGCCGGGCGGGCCGAACGTCAAGTCATCGAACAAATGTGGAACGGACTGGCAGATGGACGGACAGCGCCCGTTTTGCGAAATCAGGCAAGACGAGACGGGAAAACGTGGCAAAGAGGCACTGCGGCCAGGGCAGGGATGGTTCGTGCGGGCGGTGGACTGGAGAGGCTACTTTGACGCTGTCGATCATTGATTACGGAGTACTTCTTGCTGCTATTCTGCTATGCTGCGGAACGACTATGATCATCAATGGCATCTGGACATGGACGAGGATCAAAGGCAAGAAACGAAAGCAACCCCAAAAGGACACGTCCACTCCGCTTCAATGCATAGGCCGGACGCAATAACCACATCCACCACAGAGCATACCCGGCAGCTACGGAATGGCGCGGATGACGAGGGACGGCGTGTCCATAGCACGAAGAGGATGGCAGCCATGCAGCTGACGGGAGCCAATAAACAGAGCCCAGAACACCAAACACGCAATCTACCAAGCGAACCTCGTAATCTCAGAGACGATGCATGAAAATAAAGAACAAGGGGGGGGCGAACGGGTGCAGAGCTGTGGAAATCAAAGCGACCCGGGCCAAGATTGAGACAATTTTATCGGGCGGGCCTTTTTTCGGTTTGTTTGTGGTTTGTATTGCAATAATAAATCGTGCCCAGGCTGATGGGATCTGACCACGGCAAGGACAATCTTCTGCCTCTTTTATGTCTTTCTTCGATTACGAGTCGGCACCAGATGCAGAGGCATGAACGTCCAAGAATTCCCTTGGCTGCGCGGACCGGGTGAAACGAAAGAGGATGTGAGTGACAAGTGCAAGAAATTGACAGAAAGGAAGAATAGACAAAAAGACGAGAAGAGAAAGAGTGAAAACGATAAACGGAATCACTCCCTGTTGATGCTTCCTACGTTGGTTCCGGGTGGATCACAGTCTGTTTCTCGTCTACTCCTCGCAGCCGGCTGTGCATTCGTTATATTATCTGCATCGTACCTTATTCCATTTCAATGATACGACACGCCTCCTTCGTCCCCACGTGCAGCCAAGGCTCGCGTGCAGCTGCATGCAGGACTCGTTATGCCTGATAGATTGGCTCTGGTTAATGGAAACGGAGATGCGAGCGGCTAGGAACGTCAAAATAGCCGAGGACGGCCGAAAAGGAACAAAAGAACAGAGGAGCAAAAGGAGAAAAAGAAAAAAGAGCACAGGAGCCAAGAAATACTACCGTCGGATCTTGCAGCGGAGCGAGATCTGCTGGTGGTGTGTGCTAGGCCGTGCAACGGTTGAAGTCCTGCCACTTGGAAACACTTACGCACCGCGCTTTTAGGCAATTCTCTCCCGTCCATATATCGGCCCCCTGATCCCGCCGCCTGGGATAGACTGAAGACGGCCTGAGGCTCTGGAGGTAGACGCAATCGGGCTGTCAACATGAGAAGCAATTAATGTAGGAGACTGGGACGTGGCTGTACAGATATCTCGGAGCGTCTCGTAGTCCGATGTGTGACTGAAGATGATAACATGATAAAGATAAAGATAAAAAGAAAAGAGAAGAAAAGAAAAGAAACGCACTCCAGCTAAGGCTACCATCAAAGTCGATCTTCGGGATCCGTCAAACGTCAGCCGCCACGTCGACTGGCCCGTTTCGGGAGGCACAGTCTTCCGTTGGAGCGAGCAGTGGGCCAAGCAGAGAGACGGTGGGCTCATCACACCGTATTGTCCCGTTTTCTGTTGTTCAGTCGTTTAGTTGTTCGCCTGTGTTTTCTTTCTCACAATCTTCACCGTCCTCGGATCGTTTTGGTTGAAACAAGCATCCCTGCCAAGGTTTCAGACGACAGTCGCGTGCAGGGCCGTGATGGTAAAATGGAAAAGGATCGACCGTTGTGTGGTGGACCGATGGGGATGTGCGGGAGGACAGGGAAGGAAAAAAAAAAGAAGAAAAAAAGGAAAAAAAAAAGAAAAAAAGAAAACCACCCAAATCACCAAAACCAACCACAGCGCAACCCCATTCTCGGACGAGCGCTTCCACGTCACGTCGACGTTGCACTTTTCGTTTCACGGTGATGCACATGTGGCGTTGCGTGTAGTTCACATCTTTACTCTCTCGCCACAGCCTGAGCATATTTTTCGACCTGCCTACATTCGCATTCGTTGCTATTGGAGTGCCATTGGCTACAGTCTCTTTCATTTACTTTGTGTCGACGGCTGGCAGCCGTGGAGCCGCTTTCTTCCATCTCTCCCAATGCACGAGGCTGGCCGTTGCATGCAAGGGAAAATAGGCTAAACCAGGAACCAGTTTCTTCGACACCGTCCAAACTATAATTTCACTGCTCTTCAACGTCGCCACCCCCACCTACTCTACGTGCTCGGCGTCACCCATCTTGCGCTCGATGTCGAGCTCCCGGTCAAACTGGTACGACGCAAAGTCGCGGGCGCGCAGGTTCTTGGCAAAGAGGACGTCGAGCTCCTCGTAGGTGCGGCCCTTGCACTCGGGCAGGCGGAAGTAGGACCAGACCAGGATGAGGAGGGCGAAGCCGGCGGCGAGGAAGCCCGACTTGCCCTTCCAGTTGCCCTCGGTGGAGCCGAGGACGTAGGGCGCGACGGTCGACGAGCAGATGACGCCGACGTTGTAGGTGTTGCGCGCGAGAGAAATGGTCTTGCTGCGCAGGCGCGTCGACGAGGTCTCGGCGACGATGATGAAGGCCATGGGGCCGACGGTCAGCTGGTAGCAGGCGTACCACAAAAAGTAAAAGGCGGCGCCGGCGAAGCCGTAGCTGCGGGCCGCGCCGCCGCGGGCGTCCTGGGCGACGGACAGGAAGCCAATGACGAGCATGATGAGGCCCATGCCGAGGGCGCCGGCCATGAAGATGGGGCGGCGGCCGTGGCGGGCGGTGAGGAGGGTGGAGGCGAGGTTGCACAGAAAGTGCAGGCCGCCGAGGCCGACGGTCAGCTTGTAGGCGTCGGCCGCGGGCAGGCCGGCCTGCTCAAAGAAAAAGGTGGCGTAGGACGTGATGGCGAAGCCGACCAGCACCTGCGACAGCCAGGCGACGCAGCTGATCTCGGTGCGCCAGAGGTTGGTGCCGCGGAAGCAGTCGCGCCACGCGGCGCCCTCGGTCATGGCGCGCTCGAGCTGCGTGGTCTCGACCATGAGCGCGACGGCGTTGCGGGCCGTGACGGCCACGTCGTCGCCGCCTGCGGACGCGGCCGTCCCCCGGGGCGCCGTCGTCAGGCGCCGCACCGACCGCTCGGCGTCGACGAGGCGGCCCTGGCGCACGAGCCACCAGGGCGACTCGGGCGCAAAGACGACGAGCGGCACGATGACGACGGGAAAGGCCCACTGCACGGCAAAGGGGACGCGCCAGGCCCACTGGGTGGTGTTGCCGGTCAGGCCGTCGAGCACGCCGTACGAGACGAACTGGCCGATGCCCCAGCAGAGCACGACAAAGGTCTCGAGGTAGGCGCGCAGCACGACGGGCGTGACCTCGGAGGCGTAGGCCGTCGCCAGCGTCGTGTAGATGCCCCAGGACACGCCGCACAGCAGCTCGCCCACAAACAGCACGCCGACGGACGGCGCGAAGAAGGCGATGAAGATGCACGCCGTCAGCCAGGCCATGGCGCCCAGCAGCGTGCGCTTGTGGCCCCAGCGCTCCGTGCAGACGCCGTTGAGGGCGATGCCGACCAGGTTGCCCAGCGGGCTGGCCAGGCCGAGCGCCGTCTGCCACTTGGGCTGCACCTGGAAGCCCGTGGTCGAGTGCGGGACGGCGACGCCGAAGCGCCGCTGGAAGGCGGGGAAGCCAAAGAGCGTGCCGATGAGGGCCGTGTCGTAGCCGTCCATGATGACCACGAGCGACACGACGACGCTCCAGAAGCAGGCCTTGGGGTACTGGCGCAGGGCCCGCGCGAGGGTCATGCTGTGCTCGGCCTCGGTGGCGTCGCGGGCGTCGGCGTTGAGGCCGGCCAGGCCGACCCAGGCGTTGGCGACGTTGGCGACGTTGGCGGCTGGGGGCGGCGGCGGGTTTTTGGTGTCTGTCATTTCCATATTGGCGGCGATGGTGCTTAGGGTACAAAGGCACAATGAAGGAAGACGATAGCAGTGGGAACGATGTCGATGGAGACAGGACAGAGGGAGATACGCCTCGACGTTTATCTACATTTAGAGACGACGGCGACCGAGTCGATTAAAGAATAGCATCGTGCCGGAAGACTGTCGACATGGTCACTTACGAGAAGTGAGAGACACGCCGTGGGGAAACAGGGAGAATAACGTCACCATCGATACCGTCCACCCGGTTTGGTCGCACGACCCTCGTCGAGCAAACGACACATCGACTCTCGCTTGCGCTCGTCTCCCACCACACCACCCCTGCTCAGCCGGCTATATTCAAGTCAAATACGACGTGACGGGTGTGGAGGTGAAATGTGAGGGGAAGTTGTGACAGGTTACGAGGGTCGAGATGTGAGATGCTCGCGTGCGTTGCTTCCGGGCTAATCCAAGAGGTTAATCCACGAATCGTAGGGCTGCATGTCATGGTGACTGCGACGGTGCGCGAGGTACAAGAGGGTACATGGTGGAATGGTGAGCAGAGGAGTGGAGGAATCCTCTCTCCGCATGGG